AATATTTAAATGCAATGTCAATCGTTATCTTCTGTCTTCTTAATTCTTGTTATTTTATTGTCTTCTCTCCTTAATAGTAGTTTTTCTCATATTCTCTAACACTCAGTAGTAGTTTTTGATATTCAAATATTTAAATCAATGTCAATCATCTCAGTAATTTTATTGTCTTCTCTCCTAGTGGCTCCATTGTCTTGATATTGTCTTTGATAAAATATTTAAATGCAATGTCAATCGTTATCTTCTGTCTTCTTAATTTTGTTATTTTATTGTCTTCTCTCCCTTAATAGTCCATTGTTTTTGATATTCAAATATTTAAATAATGTCAATCGTTATCAGTAACTTCCTTGTTATTTTATTGTCTTCTCTCCTTAGTGGTTTTTCTCATATTCTCTAGCACTCAGTAACTTTGCGTCCTAGATCCATTGTCTTTGATATTCAAATATTTAAATGCAATGTCAATCGTTATCTTCTGTCTTCTTAATTCTTGTTATTTTATTGTCTTCTCTCCTTAATAGTAGTTTTTCTCATATTCTCTAACACTCAGTAACTCCTTGCGTCCTAGTGGCTCCATTGTCTTTGATATTCAAATATTTAAATGCAATGTCAATCGTTATCTTCTGTCTTCTTAATTCTTGTTATTTTATTGTCTTCTCTCCTTAATAGTAGTTTTTCTCATATTCTCTAACACTCAGTAACTCCTTGCGTCCTAGTGGCTTTATTGCCTTTGATCTTCAAATATTTAAATGCAATGTCAATCGTTATCTTCTGTCTTCTTAATTCTTGTTATTTTATTGTCTTCTCTCCTTAATAGTAGTTTTCTCATATTCTCTAACACTCAGTAACTCCTTGCGTCCTAACTTTATTGCCTTTGATATTCAAATATTTAAATGCAATGTCAATCGTTATCTTCTGTCTTCTTAATTCTTGTTATTTTATTGTCTTCTCTCCTTAGTAGTTTTCTCATATTCTCTAACACTCAGTTCAAATTTATTGCCTTTGATCTTCAAATATTTAAATGTCAATCGTTATCTTCTGTCTTCTTAATTCTTGTTATTTTATTGTCTTCTCTCCTTAATAGTAGTTTTTCTCATATTCTCTAACACTCAGTAACTCCTTGCGTCCTAGTGGCTTTATTGCCTTTGATATTCAAATATTTAAATGCAATGTCAATCGTTATCTTCTGTCTTCTTAATTCTTGTTATTTTATTGTCTTCTCTCCTTAATAGTAGTTTTTCTCATATTCTCTAACACTCAGTAACTCCTTGCGTCCTAGTGGCTTTATTGCCTTTGATATTCAAATATTTAAATGCAATGTCAATTTATCTTCTGTCTTCTTAATTCTTGTTATTTTATTGTCTTCTCTCCTTAATAGTAGTTTTTCTCATATTCTCTAGCACTCAGTAACTCCTTGCGTCCTAGTGGCTCCATTGTCTTTGATATTCAAATATTTAAATGCAATGTCAATCGTTATCTTCTGTCTTCTTAATTCTTGTTATTTTATTGTCTTCTCTCTTAATAGTAGTTTTCTCATATTCTCTAACTAACCTAGTGGCTCCAGTAATTCAAATATTTAAATGCAATGTCAAGTGGTCTTTTAATTGTTATTTTATTGTCTTCAAATATTTAAATCAGTAACAATTGTCTTTGATATTCAAATATTTAAATGCAATCGTTATCTTCTGTCTTCTTAATTCTTGTTCTTTTATTGTCTTCTCTCCTTAATAGTAGTTTTTCTCATATTCTCTAACACTCAGTAACTCCTTGCGTCCTAGTGGCTTTATTGCCTTTGATCTTCAAATATTTAAATGCAATATCAACCGTTATCTTCTGTCTTCTTAATTCTTGTTATTTTATTGCCCTCTCTCCTTAGTAGTAGTTTTTCTTATATTCTCTAAAACTCAGTAACCTCTTGGCGTCGTAGTGGCTTTAATACCTTACTTGGGGTGAGATGCTTTCAAAAAATAAAACAGTTTAGCCAAGAAAAAATAAAATCCGTTTATATTCTGAACTATGGTATATTGCGGACAATTTACACCGGGTACAATTATTTGCATAAATTTTCTCACAGGTTTGGTGATTATTTCGGAGGATACATCTTATTTTTCAAATGATTTTCTCCTCAGGACGATTAAATTGTTTAAAAAAATAAAAGATTACAGCGTGAATATTTATTTTATAAGACACACTGAATCCATCATGAAAATTCAGGATGTAGAATTAATAAATTGTAAACACTTAAAATATTTCGAGGTATTGATCAGTTATAATTAATTTCGTACAGGAAATAAGGAAATTGATGATAGAATAGGCTGCGATGTGGGGTAGTTTTGAACAACAGCGCAAGCGTCCTGGGTAAGACGATAAACTCCATCCAATATCAGAGAGGTTTTGAGGAGCGTGGAATTGTTGCAGTCTTTTGGGTATGTACTAGTGAGCTAGCCTAAATGAGCTGACTCATTTTATAGTTCACCAATGGAAGGATTAACCAATCAGAAAGCTCAAAATATTCAATGTGACGTGTATAAAGGCAGCCATTTTTTTCCCTCCCAAATTGTCTGCACTGCCAACCTGATATCGAAGACTTAAAGAATTACTTAACAACCGCTACTTTTTCTGAATCTTCACTGCCGACCTCTGATATTGAACAGATTACGGACTTCATTGGATTCCATATTCAGAGACTGCGGCAAAAATGGTGAACAGGAATCACATCTTAATTGCTTGTGTTTCCAGTTCCACCATGACCCTGGAGGTTAAGACCTGTTAGGGTCCCAGCTATAGACAAATAGTTAACCCACAAACTGGGGTCAAATCACTATGAAAGTGTAAAAATAGGTTTTAGTACCAGCAATAAAATTTTATGAAAAATTATTACCAGCAATACATTTTTAAAGAAAAAGTATTACCAGCAAATCTTGTCGGCATTAAATAACCAATTGAGGTTGATATGACGTAAAACGAACCAAATCAATATATACTGAAATAGATAAAAAAATTACCAGCAATAAAGATCTTGTCGACATTAAATAACCCATTGAAGTTGATATACCATAAGATAAACAAAACCAAATCAATATACACTGAAACATATATATATATATATATATATATAGATAGATAGATAGATAGATAGATAGATAGATAGATAGATAGATAAAAAATATTACCAGCAATAAAAATCTTGTCGACATTAAATAACCCATTGAGGTTGATATGCCGTAAAACAAACCAAAGCAATATATACTGAGATAGATAGATAGATAAAAAATATTACCAGCAATAAAAATCTTGTCGACATTGAGGTTGATATACCGTAAGATAAACCAAACCAAATCAATATACACTGAAACACACACACGCACACACACACACACACACATATATATATATATATATATATATATATATATATATATAGAGAGAGAGAGAGAGAGAGAGATATTACCAGCAATAAAAATCTTATCGGCATAAAAATACCCATTGACAAACGAAACGAAACGAACCCAAACACCGCAAAGTGCTACGAACCAAAAACTCGAGTTATGTTTGTAAACTTTCATACGGATGTCATGGATGGCGGTAATCCCGTTCAGAAATAGCCAAACTGTCGGCAGTATACAACCGCTTCCACAGATGGATGGTTAAAATGTCTTCTAGTAAGCAGACAAGCACATTTTAACTAGGACCATCCTTCTTTGAACCTTGAGAGAAATGGCGCTACAGAATCGCAAAAATATTTTCTACTAAATAAGAAAAATCACATCACTTGAGGTTTTTCAACAGCATTCCCAATTAAAATTGATAACATATGCAATTTTAAGAAAATAATGACATTATCTGTCTATATTTCTGAGATGAGGTATTATGTACACTATACAAATTATTCGGACTATTGGCCTCATCTTTGTCGCCATATTTATTACAACGTTTCGGTCTTTCAATATTTGTCTATATTTTTGAGATGAGGTATTATGTACACTATTTACATTATTTGGACTATTGTCCTCGTCTTTGGCGCCATATTTATTATAACGTTTCGGCCTTTCAGTATCTGTCTATATTTCTGAGATGAGGTATTATGTACACTATTTACATTATTCGGACTATTGTCCTCATCTTTGTCACCATATTTATTACAACGTTTCGGCCTTTCAGTATCTGTCTATATTTTTGAGATGAGGTATTATGTACACTATTTACATTATTCGACTATTGGCTATTTTGTCCTATTTATTACAACTTTCTTGCCATATTTATTTATAACTATTTCCAATCTTTTCAGTTGTACGCTCCGACCTTCTTCAGGTGGTTGGAATGTCGAACTGAACCCTTTATTTCGCTCAAGGATACATAGCACAGTGGATAAAGGCGTTGGTTAGATTCAGTGACAGGACCCAAAGAGTGTGAGTTCAATAAGAACTTGGAGAGGGAAATCAACAGGAGATAACTGATAACTGACATCCATTAAAACATGGCACGTGGAACTAGAACAGTCTACCCCAGTGAGCGAAATAAAGGGTTCAGTTCGACATTCCACCCACCTGAAGAAGGCCGGAGCGTACAACGGCCGAAACGTTGTAATAAATATGGCAACAAAGATGAGAACAGGAGTCTGAATAATGTAAATAATGTAAATAAT